CAAATAAATAAATAAATAATAAATATCCCAGAGCCAAACTTTTGAACTAGCTACACTTTTAACAGTATTGTGAGAAAAAGTATGATGTTAAATAAATAAATAAAATCTGTGGCCGATCTAAGATCTTTGAAAGCATTTGTCCAATATTCTTTGTGTTTGTTTTTAAACTGCAGGAGATCCTCCCTTTGAACTAACTATGAGGTAAAGTGAAGAAACTGCCTGAGGGCACCTTTAATGGTGATAGAGATGACCCAAATAACACAATGCACTGCAATGTTTGACTGCACAAATTCTCCTGAAGTAAAGGTGAACTGCCCCAGAACATTACTGCGTCCGATGTCTTGAGGGTACACATTCCAAACAGAATAAATACCTTTTGTTGTCTACCTATAGCAACAGCTCCTTCTCATGATTACTTTTTTTAAAAAAATCACAGAGGTCAACATTCCACTAGCAGCATTCAACACCCTCTATGTAATTTGGATATGCACACGCAGAGGCTAATTGTCAACTTTGTGTAAATGATGATTTCTTCATCAGAGCTTTAATTAAAGATTGGTATAACAAAGCTGCCCCACGAGTTCTTAAGAGGAGAGGTGGACATTTTCATAGTAACCAACACTTTTGGTAATAACACCTTCCAGCAAGAGTCCTGCCACCCTGAATATACAGCTGATAGGAGCCACAGGGAGAAAATTGTGTTCAATGTTAGAGTCCAAATATTACAACACAAATCTCCTATCAAGACATTTCTGGATGACATCAACTAGAGCACGCCTCTTTCTCAAGGTGTGGCAAAACTGCTGCATGATTCAGTTGTGAAATTCTTAGGTGCCACAGGCAATAAATTGTATCCTCTCATTGGTACACACACATACAGCACATACAGTCAGAAGGCTTTGGAAGCAAATGACTAAGGTCCACCCAATCGGAACACATATACATTACACATGAGAAATGTCTGCCTATTATTGCTAAAGTAAAGTAAAGGTAAAGGTTTTCCCCTAAAATTAAGTCCAGTCATGTCTGACTCTGGGGGTTGGTGCTCATCTCCATTTCTAAGCCAAAGAGCTGGCGTGGTCCATAGACACCTCCAAGGTATGTGGCCGGCATGACTGAATGGAGCACTGTTACCTTCCCGCCGGAGTGGTACCTATTGATCTACTCACGTTTGTATGTTTTCGAACTGCTAGGTTGACAGAAGCTGGGGCTAACATCAGGAGCTCATGCCACTCCCCGAATTCGAACCTGCAGCCTTTCGGTCTGCAAGTTCAGCATTTCAGTGCTTTAACACACTGCACCACCGGGGGCTCCATGTCTAAAGTATACATGTCTACAATATTTTAAACCTCATCTATGCCACGAAATCACAGGCCAGACAGCAAGGATTGTTGCACATTGCCCCCACCATGTTTGTCTGTGTGAACACACAATTTAGAAAAAAGCATCTGTGCAGCTTTCTGGCCATAAGAAGGAATGTTAGTTGTAATAGGTAAACTCAGTTAAAAATCTTTGTCGTGAAAACTTAAAACTTTAACTGTTCTGTACTTAAAACTTGAAAACAACAAATAATATGTGGCTCCCTTTAATTCTGGGTGTAGCTTTGTTTACAGAACATGCATTTACGTTTCTCTAACTGTTAATAATTCAGGAAGTTCCTTGCAAAAACTATCATTTTAATTCGTTTTCCTCTAAGGAGCTTCCCTCCCACAAAATACCCCTAATCTCACCCTCAAAATGCTTATTGCTGGTTTTTAAGCTTAGTTATTAGTTTAAATGGTCCACTGGTAACAGCGTTGTCCAGTTAGCTTCCCTTGTATTATCAAGACAATAAGTAACCTGTGTCCCTGCAGACTACAATACCCATAATCTTTCCTCTTTGGTATGTTGGCGAGGGCTGATAGGAACTGCTTGTCTATGTTTTTGCTTGGTGACACATCCAAGATCTTATCCATATTAGACACAAAGTTTTAAAACAAATTATCTTATTTAAAAAGTCATTTTGGCCATTAAACAAAATACAACAAAATACAAAAGTAAAGCATTGCAGTTTTGTGGACTTGGATTTTATGTATTAAAATATCAGTGTGTCTTTTTTTTCATGTCAAGAGTGACTTGAGAAACTGCAAATTGCTTCTGGTGTGAGAGAATTGGCGTCTGCAAGGACGTTGCCCAGGGGACGCCCGGATGTTTTGATGTTTTACCATCCCTGTGGAAGGCTTCTCTCATGTCCCCGCATGGGCAGCTGGAGCTGACAAAGGGAGCTCATCCATGCTCTCCCCAGATGCAAACTTCTGACCTGTCAGTCTTCAGTCTTGCCAGCACAAGAGTTTAACCCATTGTGCCACCACATGGCAATAAGAGTACAGCACAGACATGCCTACCTACCCCATTAAAGGTTTTTACTGTATACTCATTTAGGGTGCATCTACACTCTGGATTCTATGGATTTGAAGTTTTATGAGGTTTTTAACCAAGAGGGCTGGTGCCTCACTAAATTACAACTCTCATGACCCATAGCATTGAGCCAAGATATAGTTAAGAAAGAAGGGAGGAAAATATAACAACAACAACAACACTTTATTTATATTCCACCCTATCTCCCCAAAGGAACTGAGGGCGGATCCCAGCGTGTATACAGACACAGACAAACATTAAATGCCTTGGGTTGTTGTAAGATTACCTGGCTGTATGGCCATGTTCCAGAAGCATTCTCTCCTGACATTTTGCCTGCATTTATGGCAGACATCCTCAGAGGTTGCAAAGTCTCACAACCTATGACGATGCCTGCCACAGATGCAGGAAACATGTCAGGAGAGAATGCTTCTGGAACCTGGCCATTGAGCCCAGAAAACTCACAACAACCCAGTGATTCCGACCATGAAAGCCTTCAACAATACATTAAATTAGCTTGCTGTTGACCTATACAGCCCGAAAGACAGTTGCATCTGTCAAGTAGGAAATTTAGGTACTGCTTTATGCGAGGAGGCTAATTTAACTAATTTACGATGCCATAAAACCTTCCAGCAGCATGCAGAAGAATGAGGAAGTACTCCATCAAAGGACCCGGCGTCACAAGTGGACGGTGAAGTGGCAGCTCCCCCTGTGGCTGGAACTGAGCATACCCTCATGAAGCGAGAAAAAGCTGGAATGTTAAATTGCTTCTGTGCCTGTCTATATATGTTGTATGTCTAAATGGCATTGAATGTTTGCCATGTATATGTGCAATGTAATCCGACCTGAGTCCCATGCGGGGTGAGAAGAGCAGAATATAAATACTGTAAATAAATAAATAAAATGTTACCTTCCCACCAAGGCATTACCTATTGATCTACTCACATTTGCATGTTTTAAAACAGCTGGGTTGGCTGCAGCTGGGACTAACAAGGGAAGCTCACCCAGTCCTGCAGATTCGAACTGCCAACTTCTGGTCAGCAAGTTCAGCAGCTCAACTGTTTAACCCGCGGCCCCACAATGAGGAATCGGATCTGTAATTTCAAATTCCCAAGGTACCTGGAGACCAGAGGATAGAAGGCATCCCAGGGTTTTTGTGGCAAGATTGATTCCAAGGGGATTTGCCATTGTCCCCCTCTGAGACTGAGACAGTGTGACTTGCCCAAGGTTTTGTTTTGGTTTTTTTGGTTTTTTTTTTTTTGTCGTGTCAGGAGCATCCTGTTGTGAGAGAATTGGGCGTCTGCAAGGACGTTGCTCAGGGGACACCCGGATGATTTTGATGTTTTATCATCCTTGTGGGAGGCTTCTCTCATGTCCCCACATGAGGAACTGGAGCTGATAGAGGGAGCTCATCGACCTCTCCCCGGATTCAAACCTGCGACCTGTCGGTCTTCAGTCCTGCCGGCACAGGGGTTTAACCCACTGCGCCACCGGGGGCTCCTTTGCCCAAGGTTACCCATTGGGTTTCACTCCTGGTCTTCTGGAGTCCAAGCACCACAATCAAAACCCAACACCAGGCTGGGTCTCCAGAAGAACCGGATTTAGATAGCTATCAAATCATGGTAGGTAGTGGGCTGTAGTTTAGGGGAGGCCAGACAATAGCTATCTATAAGGGAACTCTAAATGCTTCTCATGTGAGCATGGGCCATCAAGTCACCTGTGAAGGCATGGGGACCCCATAAATTCATAGGATTTTCTTAGGAATTCTTGCAGGGGGCTTTGCAAGAAATCTGAAACAAAATCTACACCACTTGGGATTCATGGCGGCCTTCCATCCAAGTAACAAACCAAACTGAGCCTATTTAGGTGACTAGAGCAGGCATGGGCAAGCTTGGGCCTTCCAAGAGTTTGGACTTCAAGTCCCAGCATTCCTAACAGCCTCAGGCCCTTTCCTCCCCCTCCCCCGCTTACAGCTGAGGGGGAAAAGGAAGGGGCCTGAGGCTGTTAGGCATGGTGGGAGTTGAAGTCCAAAAGGTTTAAAAGGCCGAGGGGGGAAAGGAGGGGGGCTGAGGCTATTAGGAATGTTGGGAGTTGAAGTCCAAAAGGCTTAAGTGACTGAGGGGGAAAAGGAAGGGGCCGGAGGCTGTTAGGAATGGTGGGAGTTGAAGTCCAAAAGGCTTAAGTGACTGAGGGGGGGGGGGGAGGAAGGGGCCGGAGGCTGTTAGGAATGGTGGGAGTTGAAGTCCAAAAGGCTTAAGTGACCGAGGGGGGAAAGGAAGGGGCCTGAGGCTGTTCGGAATGGTGGGAGGGAGTTGAAGTCCGAAATACCTGGAGGGCCCAAGCTTGCCCATGCCTGGTGTAGATGCACCCCGTCTCCTGCCACGTACGCACTGGAGGGATTTACAAAACAAACCTAGAAGAGTAAACATTCATATCAAGCAAAGCCACAGCTAAACTACTCTTGGGACCTTCAAGCCCCTCCGGGACTGAGGAACGGGCCAGCCCACCAATCCCCGGAAGGCACCTCGCGGCCTTGTCCAATGGCCTCGCAGGGATAGGGAAGGGCGGGGCTTTTGCATCTCCCCCGGGCCCCGCCTCTCCACGTGGGGTCCCATTGAGAAGGCGACTCTGTTGGACTTGGTGCTGTTTACAAGCGGAGGCGGCGGAGAGGAGCGGCGGCTCGAAGGCAGCGCCCAAAAGCCCGGCCCAGGAGGATTGCGGGGACTTCGGGAGAGTTTGGGGGAGCCTCTGGCAGAAAGGGAGCCCCCGGAAGCCCCCGATCCCACCTTCTCCGCAGAGATCTGCGGAGGAAAAGGCCCAAAGGGTGGAAGGCAGCTCCGTGGGAAGGAGCACGACCTCAACCGTCGCCCGGCTTTTGCAGAGAGGAGCTCCTGGTAAGTGCCGATGGCTAACATCTCTCTTTGGATTTAGGGAGAGGGCAGCCATCAAAAGCCTGGCCTGGAGCAACTCACTGGGGCTGAGGGTTTGGAGCCGGTCCCACAATTGTTTCCTGCCCCAAACAGGTGGCAAAGGGTGGGTGGACACGGCCTCGTCACATTAGAGGGAAAAAATCCACTTAAAATACGGTTGCCTCCTCCTGCAGAGTTATGGGGTTTGTAGTTTAGGGAGGGGCCTTTAACAGCCTCACTAAACTACAAACACCAGAATTCCGCAGGAGGCAGAAACCGGATTTTAAGTGGATTTTTTTTCTCTAGTGTGATGTCGCTCGACCCCCACTTTAACTGCTGTGGCTCAGAGCTATGGCATAATGGGGCTTGTAGCTTTACACGGTCTGTAGCCTCCTTTCCTAAGTAGTGCAGTCTACTTCAGCACTGTAGACTTGATGCCCTTTGAGCCCACTTTAATGAGCAGGGCTCGAGGTTGTGGGATCCTGGGAGGTGTAGTTTGGGGAACCCTTTTTGGTCCAGGTGGTTGAAGACTCCCGGGATTCCACGGCCTTGAGTCGTATTAATAACTACTTCATCACACGAGAGAATGAATCCACTTTGAATCCGGATTCTGCCTCCTGCAGAATTCTGGGGTTTGTAGTTTTGTGAGGCTGTTAAAGGCTCTTCCCTAAACTACAAACTCCAGAATTCTGCAGGGGGCAGCAACCAGATAGAAAGTGGATTCATTCCCCAGTATAATGAGGCCTTAAAGTGGGCTCAAAGTGCATCAGGTCTACAGTATAGAAGCACTCCAAGAAAAGATGGCCTCTTGGGATGAAGAATCTTTCTGTCAGCCTCTCAGACTATTTTATCACGCTAGAGAATGAATCCACATTAAATCCGGTTTCTGCCTCCTCTCCTGCAGAATTCTGGGGTTTGTAGTTTAGGAAAGAGCCTTTAACAGCCTCACTAAAGTATAAACACCAGAATTCTATAGGAGGCAGAAACTGGATTTAAAGTGGATTCCTTCTCAAGTGTGATTGGGTCCTTGCTCTGTGGCTTAGTTTCTGATGAAAAGCAAAGCAAGCCATCAGCTGGGCTGAAGTCCTTTGGGGTTGCCTTTCCAAGGACCCCCTCCCAATTAGTTTTCCAGGCTTTGATCCTATTTCGAGGCTTAATCAATCTGCTGGGATATCCTGATCCAATTAATTGAGCTGTCGGCTAGTATCCTTAATACGAATCAATGCGCTTCAAATCCTCACTGTGTTGTGTTTTCGCACTCCCTCTTTGTTTTTCTCTGACTCCCCCCCCCCCCAAGTGGTTGAATATAGGTCAGTTTAGACTACTGGATGACAGACGTGTAGCAATGTATTTCTATTGGTTTTAGTTGTCTGAACTACTGTACAGTCAGCCTTCCTTATCCACAGATTCTACACCAGTGTTTCTCAAACTCTGCTCCTTCAGATGTTTTGGACTTCAGCTCCCAGAAATCCCAGCTAGTCTTACCAGCTGTTAGGAATTGTGGGAGTTTAAGTCCAAAACACCTGGAGGAGCAAAGTTTGGGAAATACTGCTCTACACCCACAGATTCCACCATCCATAACTTGAAAATATCCCCACAAAATTCCAAAATATAATCCTTGATTTTGCCATTTTATATAAAGTACTCCATTTTGGGGCTGCGGTGGTGCAGCAGGTTGAACCGCTGAGCTGCATTACTTGCTGATTGGAAGGTTGGCAGTTCAAATCCAGGCAGTGGGGTTAGCTCCCACTGTTAGCCCCAGCTTCTGCCAGCCTAGCAATTAGAAAGCATTCAGATGTGAGTAGATCAGTAGGTACATCTTTGTTGGGAAGGTGATGGTGCTCCATGCAGTCATGCCAGCCACATGACCTTGGAGGTGTCTACAGACAATGCAAGCTCTTTGGCTTTGAAATTGAGATGAGCAACACCCCCCAGAGTCGGACTCAGCTAGACTTAATGTCAAGGGGAAACCCTTTAAAAACTTCCACTTTACTATGCTGTTGTATATAATGAGACTTGAGCATCTATAGATCACGGTATTTTCTGGAACAAAACACCAGTGGGTATCAAGAGCACACTGTATTAGATGTTTTTAGATAATCCTATATCAGGTTTACTTAGAAATAAGATAAATACAACAAATTCAGTGGGAGTCAAGCCCTAAAATTGCAGTGTATAAGATGTACCTAGCTTTGCAATTTCTTGTTTTTTCAAAACAGTAATGAACATTGTTACTACTGTAACAAGAAAAAAATGTAAACAAACTCATTGCAATGGTATCTGTGCTAGAAAAACATTGTTCTCCAGGGCTTAATTCTAACCCCAAAGGAATCTGTGGTCCCTATCTGTCATTTGTTGTTGTGTGCCTTCCATTCATTTCCAACTTATGACAACTCAAAGGTGAATCTATCACAGGCATTGTCAAACTATCCCTCATGTGCCTGGCTGGCTCCAAACCCATTCCCATGCTCCCATGTAGGTCCAGAGCCCCCTCTGCAGGCTGTGGGACAGGCCATTGGTGGGGGCAGGGGTCCCAATCATATGTGTTTCTTCCTTCTTCCTCCAGGTGTTTTGGATAGCAACTCCCACAATTCCTAAAAGCCTCAAGCCTCTCAGCCACTTAAGCGGCTGAGGGGGGAAAGGAAGGGGCCTGAGACTGTTAGGAATTGTGGGAATTGCAGCCCAAAACACCTGGAGGGCTGAAGTTTGACCATACCTGCTCTATCATTAGGTTTTAGAGTAGCCCCCGGTGGCGCAGTGGGTTAAACCCCTGTGCTGGCAGGACTGAAGACCAACAGGTCGCGGGTTCGAATCCGGGGAGAGGCGGACAAGCTTCCTCTATCAGTTCCAGCTCCTCATGCAGGGACATGAGAGAAGCCTCCCACAAGGATGATAAAAAACATCAAAATCATCCAGGCGTCCCCTGGGCAATGTCCTTGCAGATGGCCAATTCTCTTACACCAGGAGTCACTCCTGACACGACAAAAAAAAAAAAAAGGTTTTAAGAGTGCGTGGGACTTGTCCAAGGTTATCCGGTGGGTTTCCAGATCTGATCCAGAAATCAAACTCTGTTCTCCAGTCTAGTCCAATGAGCAAGCTACTACACTATACTGTGCTCCTGAAGTTATACAGCCCAACAAAAAAAAGTATTTGCGTGTTTTGGGGGGTTTTTTAGGCCTCTTCTTGGGGTTATTTGGGGCACTTATTCATAAAATTGCACTTGATAGACCACATCAGCTCTAGTTTCTTGAATATGGTTATCATGCTTTGTTTTTGTGGGGAAGGAAGTGGTGACTGGCGTACATTCTATATCTCAAAAACTGGAGCTGACGAGGGAGACAGGCCATTTTTTAAATCAGCAGGACAAACATACCCAGAAAGAAGACTTAACATTTGAGGCACCAACATGTGTGTTGGGCAATGTTTTAAAGACATATTATCTGCGTATTCATCAGAGTGATTTGCATCAGTTGGCTTTCTTCAAGCCGATGCTTTGAACTACAACAACTGTCAACACACAGTGGTCAATGATGATGGGAATTGTTTGAAAGGGGAACAGTCTTTTTTTGTCAGGTGTATGCTACATTGCTGTTTTTTTTCTAATGCAAAATGATCTCTGGTCTGGTATACATTATGGGGTGGGGGAGAGAAGCTTTTCTGTCCTGACCCATCTGTTCAACCCCTGGAAATCATGTCTATTTCTGCAAGAACTGTAGTAATCTGAAATAATTAAAAACGTAAGTGTGACCTGCAACAAAGTGTTGGAGAGTGTAAAGTGATCCTTCTCAACTGAACATGTTTTTCCATGATAATTATTTTTTCTCCTCCACCAGCCCAGCAATGTCAATATTCTGCAGCCATTGAGCATGTTCAATGTATTGTCGAAAGCTGTTATGGCCATAATCACTGGGTTGCTGTCTGTTTTCCAGGCTGTATGGTCATGTTCCAGAATGGATCATGTTCATTTCTCATTGGACTCTTCTGAAGTTTTGTCTCTCCTTAGTTTTATCTTAAGGCTTTGCTTCCTGGGTTGGCAAAGTGTCCAGTCTCCTAAGTCTGCTGATACTTCCCTTTTCATGTTGATTAGCAAATCTACAAGTTCACCGGGGCAGGGTACATTTTGGTTTATTTAGGATGAGAACTTACTAGAGTTTACACAATTTGAATGTGGAGCAAAATGAAACATTGAAATAATGTGATAGAGAGAGCAAGGGCAAACATGCTGTCACTGTGATTCCAGTTCCCACTGGTTTTGCTGCTGATGCTTGCCTGATTAAATAAGAATGGGCACACTTTCAACTAAACATGAGTTGGCTCATTCACATGGTCACTGTCACACTCCCTGATGTTCTGGACGATCTGATGGGTGTATGTATGAATTTGCATGGATCCCTCCCTTCAAGCTTCTTACTGTCTGGTCATGCTCTTGGCCATGCTGGTTTGGGGGATTTGGGGAATTGTAGTACAAAAAAAGAGCTAGCATATGTGGTTTATTGCCTTTTGTTCTGTTGACTGTAATAAAGAGATTGATTGATTGATTGAAATAGATTAAGGACTCCAGATGTAGTGTTAGACTTTTGAATACCCTCCTCCATAGGAGCTACAGTGGTGCAGTGGGTTAAACTCTTGTGCCAGCCGAACTGCTGGCCTGAATGTTGGTGGTTCAAATGTGCAAGATGAGTTCCCATCTGTCAGCTCCAGCTTCCCTTGAGGGGATATGAGAGAAGCCTCCCACAGGATGGTAAAGCAAATGGGCAAGTCTTAGGCAACGTCCTTGCAGACAGCCAATCTCTCACACCAGAAGCGAATTGCAGTTTCTCAAGTTGCTTCTGACATGATTAAAAACCCTCCTACATTAAAAATAAAAATAAGATTGGAATATACTAAAATTAGTGCACAGTTTTGAATGCATCTCTCTTTTAAACTGATCTAATGCTCACATCAGCAATGCCACAGTCATATTGAAGAGGGAAAGGATAGAAATA